AAACAACAGTAGGCTATTGTACATATATACTAAACAATTTACTTGTATTTAGCATTTGAAAACTATACAGAATTATGTAGACATTATTTTATTCACCCTTCTTAAAAATGGAGAATCTAAATTTGCTCCCTTCCCATATGACATTAAACTACATTTTCATTTTATGAGCATGAGACATGATTGATCATTCTTCCTCCTTTCTCTGCTGCATAGTAATGAGAAGGCCCAAAACTTATTTCCCGCTAATTTATTGTTTCTCATTATATCCAAAATGGGAATGGGTTTATTGAAACAAGGCACAATTATTAACATTGACCTCTTACATTAAATCATAGTTCATACCATGGTCTCTCATGGTTCAGATATAATGAGCTGAAAATTGAACTAAAAGCTTCCAATCTCCTTGCAGTTGTGCTAGAAAGAAATTGAGAGTTGGCAAGATTAAAGCCTTCACATATGATATATAAGAAATATATTTTAGTGTGGGATTCAAGGCCAGGCTATTGTCATCGATATGTACTCCAATCAATGTGTAAGGGGTAAAGAGAACATTGCCAAATAGCCACAAGGAATGAAGCTGAGGAACATATTAGCAAGAATGTCGCAGCTACTTCCGTCAGCAACTTCTGGTTTATAGTAACCATTATGGAACCTGGAAGCTCCATACTTACAGTGGTGAGAATACATCCCATAGATAAGCCTAGTGTTTCTTTCTCACAGCTCTAATGTCATAAAACAGGGCTTCACAATCTGGTCCTTGAAAGTGAATGCTGGAAGATAAATTAATTTTTGTATTGTGCTATGGTATTACTATTCTTTTGGGGAAGGAAAGTGGGAAATTTTGCTTTCTGTTCTCTTTCTTCGCTCTATTTGCAGACTTTCTTCAATTAAAAAGTAACTGATTGTATCCAACCGCCAAGTATATATACACCAATAAATAACTTACCTGAACTTCCCTATATATTGAACACAATATGCTGATAGTAAATGTGGTCAAACATGGTGCTCATGTAATATTAAAAATGTGTTCTTTCACTATGTTATACTTGATTTACACGAAGAATTTTCTTCTGTGCTTCTAAAATTAATAACTTTTTAACAGTTTTCTTAGGTCATGGTGATAACAGTTTATTTGGTAAATTATTTTGTTTTGAACGTATCAATACAGATTTCATGAAAGCTGAACATCTGAATTTGTATTTTTAAAAATATAATTCAGCATGGAAGAATGCATGTATAAATTAGTCTTCAAGTAATTATTGCCAAGGGCAATAAGATAAAAGGAAGCTAACTATTTTCAAAGTCAAATGAAAGATAGTTCCACAATTCATCTAACCTATGGATGTAACCTAGCTAAAGATAGCTTCATTGTAAAATTGTAGAACAACAGTAGAGGGAGCTATAGCAGGAAATTGTACTCACAAGTGAGGCTAATAAGCTGTATATTTTACAACATATATCAGCAGATATTTCTTCTGTTTAATAGAAATGATAACGGTTATACACCCCTTAATATATTTAAAATAATAATACTGGCTATTATGAAATAAATAGCAATATTCAGGGGATTTCAGAAAGAACATATCTTTGCATATAGTAGAGATTCTTTCATTTAGATTGATATAACCTAATGTACGTATTCAGAAGAATAAAGGATGCAGAGTTTCCACCACGAAGAATAAAAGGAATTTCAATGTAGGGAAAGAAATCCAAAGCAAGCAAGCACCATTTCCTTACACAAGGAGTAAGCATTAAGAACATTATATCCAATACACTAAATATAGCAAAGCCTAGCTTGGATGAGTTTATACTGGTTTGATGAATTGAGCATTTGATGCATAGAGATCCAATGACATTTGCTTACCTGAAGTAGGCAATTGGAGTCAACCATTCAGTAATGAAAATAGAAATACTATTTGCAGTTTGCTGTAATTCACATAAAAGAATCACCAATGTAATGAAATTTGGTCGAATCAATTGTTATCTCAATATGCTTTACTTTTGCATTTGCATACATTCCAATTATGTTTTCATATCACCAGGTGTATAGTCTTGCGTTTAATGCTAAAAATAGGGATGTAGGTTAAATGGCAGTATCCATGTGCAAGAGGAACTACCAGCTAATTTAGCTGATCTTGAATTTTGTGGAAGTAAAATCAATTATAGATAGAGAATTCAACAAGCAAAATAAAAAGATTGTGGAAAAAGTGATGGAATGGAATAGAATGGTTGTAAAAAAGGAAAAGAGTCATATAAGATGAAACTATGTGATTTCCAGGTTCACAGAAAAAATAATTTTTAAATTATTAATGGGCAGAAGTTAGTGCAACCATAAAAATCAATGAAGAAAACCAGGATTTTAATGCATTTGAAAGTGGGTATCAATGTCTCGTCAAACCTTCTTATGTCACACAAAAGCTCATATATTTTCTAACTCAATCCTTATTTAGATAGATATTTCACAGATCTGGAAAATACAGGTTAAAGATTAATTGCATTCTTATGGTTAAATTAAAGTGGCCTGCTTATAAATTGTAAGATGCAAAATACAATATTTCTGTGAGAATAGAAGTTGTTCAAATAAATAGACTCACTAATACACACAGAGAGAAAACGTAGCCCAATGGAAATATAGAACCAGGAAGAGAATATATAATATATCTATATTCTTATATTTTACACATTACTGTTTGTGTCCATTAAATGTACCTAAAGGGTGGCAATTTTAGACTTTCAGAAGTAACACTAAACATTTAATTCAATTTTGTTTTGCCCAATTCCAAAACAACTCTGAGCTTTGTCAAGTGACAATTTATTATGGCATAAACTTTCCACAGACTAGAGAAAGCTCACACATGCTTCATAACAGACAGGAAGCAGCAGGTGAAGCTAGGCGGAACTACATTCAATACTTGTACAATCAGCACAGGGGCCCCCCAAGGCTGTGTGCTTTCTCCACTTCTCCCTATATACCAATGACTGCATTTCAAATGATCCATCTGTTAAAATACTGAAGTTTGTTGATGACACAACATTGATTAGTCTCATTCGAGACAATGATGAATTCGCATACAGACAGGAAGTTATACAACTTGCCTCTTGGTGTAACTCAAAACTATAGAAATGGTGGTAGACTTTAGAAGAAACCCTCCCATATTACCACCTCTTACAATACTAGACAACACCATATCAACAGTAGAGACCTTCAAATTCCTAGGTTCTACTATATCACATGACATAAAAGGGAAACCTAACATCAAAAACATCATCAAAAAAGCACAACAAAGAATGTTCTTTCTGCGCCAACTCAAACTGCCCAAGGAGCTGCTGATCCAGTTCTACAGATGAATTATTGAGTCTATCATCTGCACCTCTATAACTCTCTGGTTTGGTTCTGCAACTCAACAGGAGAGACACAGACTTCAGAGAGTAATTAGGACTGCAGAAAAGGCCATTACTACCCACCTGCCTTCAATCGAGGACCTGTATACTACACGAGTCAAAAAGAAGGTTGTGAAAATATTTAGAGACCCCTCACATCCTGGACATAAACTGTTTCAACTCCTTCCCTCAAAATATAGAGCATTGCACACCAGAACAACTAGACACAAGGACAGTTTTTTCCTGAAAGCCATCACTCTGCTAAACAAATAATTCCCTCAACACTGTTCAACTATTACAAAGTCTGCACCACTGTTACTGTCATCACTCCTTATCATCCATCCCCTCCCACTTGTGACTGTATGACTAACTTTGTCGCTGGTATACTTATGATTTATATTGACTGTTTCCTAGTATGATTGATTGCTTATTGTACCCTATGACTATCATTAAGTGTCGTACCTTATGATTCTGACGAATGTATCTTTTCTTTTATGTATACTGAGAGTATTTACACCAAGACAAATTCCTTGTGTGTCCAATCACACTTGGCCAATAAAGAATTCTATTCTATTCTATTCTATTCTATTCTATTCTATTCTATTCTAT